TAAGGTGCTATCTCTCTTCTTTTATGAGGAGAGAGCTAGAGCTATGTGGTTATTGGCTAAGAAAACAAAAAGGAAATGAAAGAAAGGAAAAAGCGGAAAGGAAGGGAAGTAAAGAAAGGAAGAAAGACGGAAATAATAATAAAAAAAAAAAGAAGAAGAAGGCAACGTTCTCTGGCAACAACAATGGAGACGATGATCTCTTTCTCTTATCCCAGATTAGAGATCTCATATTTCGATTTTCTCTTTCTCTAATCTCTAATCTCAGCTTGTATCTCTTTCTCTCCAACCTCTTTTTCTCTCTCTGATTTCATCGATATCTCAGATATGAGATTGTGTCTCGGATTCTCAGTCCCTCCCCCATCTCTCAATCTCATTTATTTTATCTGTTAATAATCTTTAAAAAAATATTAAATCATTGCCTGGGTCAAACAGTTTAGTGGTTCAACCATTTGGGTTAACGGTTCTTTCACCAATTCAACTTTTTTTTTCAAAAAAAAAAGAGCAGTCCAATCTTAAAATGGACCTAAAAACTGACTAGTTCCTGGGTCAAACGGTTCAACCATTCGGTCTGGTCCAAAATTTAAAACAGTAGTTATAGGCTTACTGCTATTGAAGAGCTTTGAGGTTGTTAGCTTAGACTTACTATTGATTCAGGGCACTATTTCTTAACTATGGATCAAGGGGTTCATGTAAAGTGTTTGATTAATCCAAAATACATTTTATTATAGGGAAAATTCTCGATTAATACCCTGTACTTTGGGCATAGTGTCACTTTGGTCATCGAACTTTAAAATGCGACAATTCAGTACCCAAACACTAACAAAAAAATTAATAGTCTCAAATCCTTGACTCTTATATTCAAGAAAGTTATGGTCACCAGAATGTCCACTCAAATGCAACCCCAACTTTCTTGAATGGAAGAAGCGAGGATTTAGGATTGTTAATTTTTTGTCAATGTTTAGATAGTTGATAAAGAAAATTAAATGATACTCGGAGGGCATTTATGTGCTTTTCAAATGTCACTTAATGACAAGTTAACTGCTAATTAATGACAAGTACTGGATTGTTAGTTTTAAAAGTTTGAATACTAAATTATCGCATTTTACAGTTTAGAGACCAAAGTGGCATTAGGCACAAATTATAGAGGATACTAATTAGGAATTTTCCCTTTATTATATTGCYACTTTGGAGAATAAACATCTAATTATTGAAGCTTGTTTCTCAAAACATTCATAGTAGTCAATGCTCAAGACGTGAGGAGAAGATGCAAATGGGCAATACATTTTTTCTTCCTGAGTTCCTGTGATTTACAAGGGGAGATTTACCTGGTATGGATTGGGCAATGGACACAAGAAACCCATATTTTGAAATTGTTCTTCTAATCCTTTCTTGAAAGAATAAAATCTTATTTATTTTGCGCTTATTGTGGTTGAGAAATGAGTGATCAGTGCAACTGCCATCATATTTGAAGTCAATCCCCTTATTCTCCCCTTATTCCCATCGACTTCTCTTCTTCATTTTCTTTTTTTTTTTCGAATATTAAATTAAATGGAAGCAGGTTTAGGACGCTATGGTGGAGACATCAAAACTAAGCTTAAAAAGAGATTTTATTCCATTGTATCTTGGTGTGGCTGGGTACTCTTAAATGGAGGAAGACTCGTAGAGGGGCCAATGACAGGAACACTAAGCACTCGTTTGGGTCGTAGGAATAGGGGTTTGGGATTGTTCCGATTCTAACTGTTTGATTGGATGGAATTGGAATCCCACTTTCATTCTTATTGGCATTTTTTCATTTGAGAGAGTGGCCATTTCCTTTCCCTCCTTTGGGAATGAAATTTTATTTCTGTTGATTACAATATTCATTCTCATTCCTATCTGAAGTCTGAACCAAACAGATTATGAGAATATACCATTCAAATTCCAATTCCAAAAGATTTCGGCTTCAATTCTAACTGCAAACTAAATGGACCCTAAACCTTTGGGTCATCATCACACTTTACAATAGTTGCATTGCAATGCTTACTAGTGTGCGCTGGGGCCTCATAGCAGTTTCTATGCGCTGGAATCTCATAGAAGGCTGGATTTCTTCACGGTTAGGTTCATCATCTTCACAACTATTATTTCATTCTTTGCATTGCAGTGCTGTGAAACCTGGCATTAGTAATCATGAACTGCATCATACCTCTTATAAACTAAATTTGGCTCAGTTTGGAAAGAGTAAAAATGCAAATATGTACAATGTAAATACATACAAAATAATACAAAATATAAGGTTTTGTGCTCTACATATTTGCATTTGTACTCCTTCCAAACTCAGCCAAAGGGAACTTGGTCAAAGTGACCTTATTGAATCATTCAATAAAATTTTAGCCAAACTTTTATGAACGAATGAAAATGAAATTTTGATGCATGCCATTACAAAAAAACAAAGGCAAAACTTAAAGCCTTTATTATTTCTATTAGTAGTTATTATTGGTACATGCCATTACATAAAAAAATTAAGTTTAATGAAACATTTGTTATCTCTCTTAATACTTCTTTGAATCGATCTAGAGAAACCCAAAAACATGAAATCACTCCGAACATGGTCCCCATGCCCTTAAACTCTATACAAGGTTCAAAATATCGATACAGGCCGATACACCACCACTAGGGTGTATCAGCCTGATCAGCCTGTATCGGTACTTTTTAAAGTTTTATTTGTTTTTTTTTCAAAACTGATTTAGAGGGGTTGGTTTAAGGCCCGATTACCCTCTAAACCATTGTCTGACCTGATACAATCCCTGGAAGGACGTATCGGAAAGTCATTGACATGATATGTATCGGATGATACGGGCTGATACGTGTCGATACATTGAACTTTGACTCCACATCCATCAACATGACCCATTTGGAATCGAAACCCTTGCAAGACTACCATGGTTACTATGTCAAGGAAGGTGTTAGAACTTTCGAGGAGAGCTTAGTTTAAGTTCGTTCTTATTCAGTCATGAATCATGGATTCACTTGTTGGAACTTTGTGCAAGTTTTCCATTAGAGATATAGAACATGCTCTTTTTCATGACTGATGAAGAATAAAATAGGAAAAAAGGTTGCCTATAATTCCAAGGGGTCAAAGTTAAAAGGCATTGTGGACCAAAAAAGATAAAGTTAAGTTTAAAAGAAACCATACATGTAAGCATATTGTAATGGTAAGACCCCATTTGCTTTTCCATAATTTATTTATTTGGATCAATGCATTTATTTTATGTTTTTTTTTTAATTTCTCAAGTAAATAAGATAATGATTGTTTTAACCCTATCAATCCATTATTAAAAGGGACACTTTTGTTCCATTCAAGTGTTGACAAGTTTCCCACATGTGGGAAAGTTACTCACCCACCTAAGAAATTGGTACTACTTATCCGAAAATACCTAAGAATATATGAATTCCACATAAATCTGAAAAAAGAACATTAATATCTTGGTAGGTGTTTGGCATCAATGCTATTGCTTCAGAGTTATTTTTTGAGAAAACAATGATGTATGGATGAGGGTTTTGTTACACTGTTTTTCTGAGAAAAACAGTTCCTTTTTTTTTTGTTTGGCATTGATGCTACCACATAATTAGTTTTATGGGGAAACAACGCTGTTTTTCTTTGGTACCAATGTTGTATAACCGTTTTCAGCATTGGTTTACATTATCCGATGCTTCAGATGATGCCACATTGGTGCCATGTCATTGTACCGTTAACAACAACGAGTTGGAACCTTAGAAAATGTTGAATTTGGCGTTTCCTTAGACCACACCTTCCCGACAAGGTTCTAAATATTGATACGCCAGTAGGGGGCATATCGGTAGGGGTGGAGCTAGGAAATTGTTATAAGGGGGGGCAAAACATAAATGAAATATGGATGGGACCATAGGGGGGCCAACCATTGAAATGGAGAGTGAGGAGAGGATAAAATTTATAGGGAAAACTGTTTTTCAGTGGGGAGTTTCTGAACCATAGGGGGGGACATGGCTCCCCTGGGTCCCCCTAGCTCCACCCCTATGTATCGGTACTTTTTTTTTTTTCAAATCCGGTTTAGGGGGCGGTTTACGGTTCCTCCCCCCCCTGAATCGGTCAAAACCCCGATACATCCTCCGTAGGGGCGTATCGGGGTGCTCTCGATACAATACGTATCGACCATAATGATACTTTGAACCTTGCTTCCTGATTTTCAAGGTGTGGTTTGGGGCAACATTTGTTTGAAAAAATGGAACCAAACATGAGGCCATTTTTATGGGGCAACGTTTTTCTGACATAGCACCAATGCAGCACCATTTTTTGGGGCAACGATGTCGGCACCAAACACTGCCCAATGATCAATGGGAACCAAAATCCTATAAACCAATTTTTCCACCTCCCAAAATCCAAAAAAAAAACACCCCTAAGGCTGTATTTGGTTGTAGTGCTATTTTGTTTGTCTTTAATACAAGTGGCTAAGAGTGCAAATGAAAAAAATGCAAATTCTGATTTAATTTTGTTTGCGTCAGTCTTATTTTACTTCATTTTGTACGACAATCAAACAAAATGTGATAAATTTTGAAACAAATAAATTATAATTTGCACCGAAATCATTTGTACTACCATGCTTTTGCATAAGTGAAAATAAATTTGAATTGCAAGTTTGCAACCAAACACAGCCTAAGGGGTTTTACGATCTCATAAAAAGATGCTGGAAATGTGGAGATCCGGAGTACTTACGCAGGGTGTCGCGTACTGTGAACGGATCATTCACACACGCACACCCCGCACCGGCCGGTGGATGGGACGGGCGCATGATATTTTGTTCAGGCCATGACTGTCGAACGAGCCGTGGGCGAGCACTTACACTCGTAGTAATAACGCAGCCGCAGAACGAGAATCAATCACTAATAATTAACCAGGCCTCCAAAGTAATTCACAAATTTCACCAAATTTTGTTTCATTCACCTTTTTACACAGAGGTCACCCGAGTGTCACCTTTTTCTTTATAAAGTCCGCAGTCCGCACTGTCATCTTTGTTCTCAGGCAGCAAGCAGAAGCACCCCCAAACTTGGAACTTCATGGCGATGTTACTCCATCTCCTTCTCCTAGTTATCCTCTGTTTAGCTTCGAATCGAGGTGATGACAAACATCACGCTTTCTCTGAATTAATGGGCTTAACTTCTTCCTTTTCTTCTTCTATTTCTTATTTGGCTTCTTATACAAAGCAACAATGGTCATAGTTTTCCTTGTTCTTGCAGTGACATCTGAACTCGTATTGGAGGAGGGATATACAGTGTCGACCATACTCGACGGTAACAAACTACGTGTTAACCCTTCATCCGTCCTCCCCCGACCCGGAACTCATGACCTTATCATCCTCGACTCCTCTGGCAATGCCTTCTACACTGTTTCGTCCCCTTTCTCTCAAGGTATGTAACACCTTAAACCCAGAAGCTTAAAACAACACAGGGAGACGAATGTAGTTGATTTTTTTTAGGGTTTCGCTGTTTACCTTTCGCAGATTGTGAGGTCAGGCAGTTAGCGGGAAATGGTTCTCGCGGATTCTCTGATGGAGATTCCGTTTCTGCAATGTTCAGTCATCCACGGAGCTTTGCTGTTGATCTCAAGGGAAATATTTACGTCGCTGATAGGTCCAACCATGCTATACGGAAGATTAGCAAGTCAGGTATTTCGACTTCTTCGTTTTATTTTCCGGGGTTTCATCTGTTGTCATTGCACAGTAGAAACTTTGTTATCTTTACTTCTTTTAGATACTACATTTCCATCGCTATTTACAATTTTTTTTTTGATAGGTAATCATCACTACCCCCCTCTGGATTGAGATTTGCGAAGAACATATATTTCCTAAATCCTTTTTTTTGGTATGCTAAGTGGGTGAAAATTCTTTTTATTGGGTAGTCTTTTTTGGTTTTATCTCCATTGATCTCTTCTATTGATTGATTTTATGTCATCAAGAATAAAAAGGTCGACCTAGCCAAGTTTACCAGTTAACCTCCACTATTGTTCACATTTCATGCACATTGAACTTGGGCATCCAGAGGGTCTGGTCATCCATAAGCCATAATATTGGCTGTAGACAAGAAGATTGTAACTGCCCTTTCAGAATAAAATGAAGATTCCAACTGCACAAGATCGAGTAGTCCTACTCGGCTACTCCTAGCAATCAAGTGAAAAAAAATTTGCAATAACCATGGAATTGAAGTTGAGCATGAATTCACGAAATAGTAGTTTTTGTCAACTTTGATGTGATTCTGAGACTCATCAATAGGTTTCCCCACCAGTTGAACAACGTGAATGATAATTAATTTCACATCTAACAATAAAATGAAGATTCCAACTGCACAAGATCGAGTAGTTCTACTCGGCTACTCCTAGCAATCAAGTGAAAAAAAAAATTGCAATACCCATGGAATTGAAGTTGAGCATGAATTCACGAAATAGTAGTTTTCGTCAACTTTGATTTGATTCTGAGACTCATCAATAGGTTTCCCACCAGTTGAACAAAGTGAATGATAATTAATTTCACATCTAACCACTTTCTTTGACGTAGTTTTGCCTGTATTCATTTTTAGTTCTTTGTGGCTCTATTATTTTTTCATTGGATTATCCAGATAAGTGGGCATATTTCTGACGGGATGGTGGGTGTGAAGGAAACATTTACAAGAGGGAAGGGGAGTGGTAGAACAATTTAGCAGTCCAAATGGAGAGGACCTTTCCCTTCATATTGCACTAATGCTGTTTTGAAACTTTACAGGTGCTACTGATTATGAGGCTAAATTGCTGTTTCCAGACATAGAATTCCAAATTACAATTATGGAGTTCAAAAACAATGTAATATGTGTTTTCTCATTCATCTTAATAGCTCCTAAGAATGTACACAGATAGAACAATGCTGGCCAGCCTACTGAACCGTAGATGCCGCCTATTGGTTGGGGTTTTCCAACTGATGACATCAAATGGATTGACATTAGGATGTGCCATTTACTTGGTGATTTTTTTTTTGTTTTTATTTGTACAAAATTACTTGGAAATGTTAAAAGGTCAATGTTTTGTTTGGGTATTATATTATTTGTTTTTGTTATATTTTCCTTTTCTTCAAAATTTAAAGCTTAGATGGTTATGCACCTACCACATTCCTTACAGCATAACTTCAACTTCTTGGACGGATTTAGAGTTTTAGACTCTATGTCTTCGCAGTTCACTTGCAACTCTAGGAGGCAAGTAGGTCCCTTCTTTCAGAGCCAACACAGATACCAAATTTCTACTTGGAGATTTGGAAATCTGGAAGTTAATGTGCTTAGGGTTTAGGTGGTCCGTATCTAATTTCTATTTTCTCTTCCTACTGATATTTATCATGAAATGTGAAAAGGGCCATTACCTGATGTTGGTCACAGATGTGTGGGGTATTGGGAAGGCTGGACTGGATACAGAATGAAATTTATTTGATATGCCTACAATTAAAATAACAATAATACCTTGTGGTAATATTTGTGATTTACTTTGTCTTCGGTGTGTTTCTTGTTATCCAATTCATTCTACTTTTTTTTTTCCTACCTGAATAAATCTCTGTTATTATTGTTTTTTTTTTTTTTTGTAATTATGAGTGAGTTTTTGGACTGTTGATGACGTTTTCAGGTGTTACTACTATTGCTGGAGGCTACTCAAAGGGTCCAGGGAAAATGGATGGACCTGCACAGAGTGCATCTTTCTCAGAAGATTTTGAGCTTATCTTCATATCTGAAAGATGCTCCTTATTGATTTCTGATCGTGGAAATAGGTTGGTCCGAGAAATGATTCTGAAGCATGAGGATTGTGCGCATTCTCAATTAAGTAAGCTTCCAGCAAATTTTACATGGACTGGTTCACAATTATTTGACTGATTTAGTACAGGTATTGTGAAGCCCATTTGTCATCAAGATTGTAGGTACACATGCCATGGCAACCATGGAGGATGCTTCTTTATGGTCCCTAGCAGCTAATTTACCATTGAGGTCATATATAATATAACTAAAGGTTTAAAATTTAGTGTTGTTTAAGGACTAAAGGGACAGTCATGAAACCAAAAGTTGCAGCTGACACTACACAGTAATACAAAGTTAGATCGCAATGACCTGGCTGGATGGCTAAGAGAATTCTTTTACCAGAACATTCTGGGAACTCTAACCGGTTTTTATACCTCTAGTATTCTGGTGCCTTTTTTTGTATTTCATGCTTTTGGTTTTCAATTGTATACTTATTCTTGGGAACACAACATCTGCCGAGTATACTGTTTTAGTGTCATTCTCATACCCTGGGAACATTATAAGAACTTTATTTGCCATGTGAATGAAGATTTTCTTTTCTCATATGTGAATCAAGTAACATCTGTCTGTTTTCTTCCAGAGCTGGGATCAACCTGGGTCTGGGCGCTTGGACTGGGAATTGCATGTTTACTAAGCCTGGCAATGTGGCTTGCAGCTCATCGGTTTCTCGCTCGCGTGAGTTTTTCTTCTTTCATACCCGTATTGCATGAAGAGTATTGAATACTTATACCTTGACATGTCAATGTGTAGACAGGACGTCTTCAGCCCTCACTGTTTCAGCAAGACATGGAAGCATTGCCAAATCATTCTGGGGACTCAAGTAGTGATAATCTTCTCCGACATCAGAAGCGCAGTTGCTAGCTCAACTCCTTGGGCATTTTTGCTTAGGCTTGCTGGGCTGATTCAGTCTCATGTTTGTCTAATATTTAAGATTCATAAAGTAGAAAATCAGAAGATTTGTAGGGAGCCTGTTTACTCGCTTGATTTGGATGTTTCATGTCACCATCAGTTGTCAAAAGAACAAATCTTAGCTGACCAATTGAAGGATATGATTAGTTTTGATGGTGAGCCGGATACATCCATGGTTCTGAAGGAAGACCTCCAGAAAGGAGATGAGGAACATGAAAACAGTGATGTCTCAACTTACGATGGTGGAATATTAGATGGAATGATACAAGCTGCCATTATGGATTTCACTCGCCAGGAAAGCCCATCAGAGCGGTCTCTGTCTGCTGGTTGGATAGTTAAGAGGAGATAAAGATAAGCTGAGGATGGCTTTCTTCAATGAAACTTTATGCACTCAGACTCTTGTTTGTAAGTACAAGTTGGATAGTTATGTGAATATATGTCAATTTCTAGTTTATAGTTTCTATCCCAATGGTCTTCTTGATTCTGAACTTTGAAGAATAAAGTCCCAGAAAGTGCTTCACTTTCTGCTCCCTTCTCTCTTACTAACTAATTTAGAAATGGTGTTCGGAAGCCATAGTGACCCCTTTGCTCCATGATTTTAATTTTGAAACAATGCAGTTTATCCAGTCGAATGGATTCAGTCTGTGTGCTGGATCGGCATCCCCCACCGCCACACCAGAGTTCAACCACACCCATCTCGGATCTGCTTCCCCTCCCTCAAAGATAACCTTGTTCTTGCTTTCATAGATCATATCCACCAAAGGTACGAGTCGCTTCCTCTTGGCAAAATCTCTCCTCATCGCATTGATCTGTTGTCACAGGCTACAGCCAAGCAATTCCAACAAACTGGCCATCCAATTTCACTAGACAACTCACCACAGATTCCAACTACGCTGCTCTGGCAAAAGGACAAAGAACAAGTGATCCACATCCTCCACCCAGTCACACATGGTTTTGGAGCGGAAAACAAAATATTGCAATTTCTTTAATCTTGTGGAGCAGTCCACACAGCATTAATTGGATGATTGCTGAAATATTTTATTTAAAATTTGGGTTCGACTATGATACCCGGAAAAACTTTTAACCAATGAAACCGCTGAAATAAAAGTTGGAACCAGTCAGGTTCTATTTATTACAACTCATGGGGAGGGGAGGGGGATTTGATTGGTCAAAGCTCTTTGTCAGCATAGATTTTTCCTTAAAAATTTTCTAACAATGCATCCACGCGGACCATGCCACAGTTCAAATCACCTTATGAAGTGTGGTATGGTTTCTTCAACCACATCATTAGTGGGGCTCAGTAGATTCAAATAGTATGGTTCAGTTTGGAAAGATTACAAATACAAATATTACATACAATATTTAAGGTTTTGTATTCTACATATTTGTATTTGTCATGGAGATGTTCGCAACGGTCCAATGTTGCAATCCTTGAATTGGACCAAGACTCGAAATGCTCTACGGGTTCTGATTTTGCTTATCAACCAGGTAGTTATCCCATTAAACTTGTAAAACTGCCAAAACCATCATTAAAATCAGGACCCGGAAAAGGCCCCCATTTTGTGGTCTTACAACGTTGGAATGGTCCCTTGTGATACCACACTTGGACACTCGATAATGTAGGGGAGGGGCTGTTTAATTCTATTTAATTCTATTGCCATTTGTTTACAAAAATGTTTTGTATGACATATCTTGAAAGGCAACAAAAATTGTTGAATTTTTTTTTTTTTAAGCGCATTTTGACAATATTAGGTGCCGCATAAGTTCAAAAGCCAAAGCCGACACTGAGGTGGAAGAGATCAGATTCAATGCTTACAAGACCGTCCTTGTAGCCTTTTACAGTCATGCATTGGGACTATTATGGGGAGATAGTCCCAATGCAAAGGCTGTAAGGGACTGCGTGAATGGTGTGAGCACAATATTGTGAGGATGAAATCCGATGGGGAAAATATCCCGAACATATAACTCACGCAATCCCAAAAAAAATATCTATTTGGTAAACAGTTTGACCAAACAACATTTCATGTTTTATGGAAAAAATGACTATGTGAGAGAAACAATAATAGAAATTGGTGAGCAATAATTTGGCATGTCCAATGATATGACATGTGGAGTGACGGAATGATGTAATGACACTTCAGCGATTCCAGTCACCTTGGGACATTTCGGGTCACCTAGCTAGACTGAGGCCCAAGTAGTTCAATTACATGCACCAACCTGCCAAGGTGCCACGTAGTCTTCTTTTAGAAGCAATCCAGCTATCTTCAATCTTATCAGAATCACAATATATGTCAATGGATCTTATCTATTCCCCCCCCCCCCCCCCCCGATTTGGACGGACCTGGATAAGCCTTATCAGTTTACTTAGAGTCCATCTTCGGGTGCGAAACTAACTCCGGACTAGACGGACCCACGATCTCAGACACGTATTGTGAGGCCCATAGTAGCTTGCCTATATGAACTTATAAAGGCCTTACATCTAGCCTCACAAGGTACGCGTGATTTAACTCTCGAATTTCCCTGCAATTAAGTTCTCATCTCTCTCAAATCTCCACATCGCTAACTTAAGCATCGAAGTGCTCACATCGGGTAAAACACTCCATGCACTCTGATTGCCTTGTTTTGTAACTCGACCAAGTGACATCACTAGCCCGATGTCCAAACTGTCCTCCAAGCATGGAGTTACCCAAGGTTTTTAAAAACAAATTGGAAACAGAACCGATCAGGGGATTGGTTTCCAGTTAAGCAGTTCAATCATCCAGGTCGAACGATTTGGCCCGTGATGTCATAAATAAATTAAAAAATAAAAAATATATTTTCAATTTTGGAAACCACCTGACCTTCAGTCCTTCGGACCTGAAGGTATAAAATTCAAAAAAAAAAGCAAAACTTTTGGGTTCCCAACTGAGTGTCAGCTTGTCAAGCTCGAAATTGGTGGGAAACCAAAAGTTTTACATTTTTTTTTTGAATTTTATACCTTCAAGCTCGAAGGACTGAAGGTTGGGTGGTTCCTAGAAGTTGCAGATAGAAGAATAAACTTACTCTCGCAAGCATGGGAGAATAGTGGGTAGGAATCACCGTCACTATAGGTAAGGTTGCAAAATTGTCCATTGCTAGACCTGCTACTGCCGCAACCCACAACTGTTACGGCTGGATCTGCTGCAAAATCAATGCTGGCCGCCATAGATAAAGCTCACTGCCATCGGTCGCTGTGTGTCGTCATCGGATGCCATAGGTTGTGGCCGCCGCAGGTGATCGGTTGGGTGTCGCGGCTGAGAGGAGGGAAGGGTTAGTAGGGCTGTTCATAAGAATGCCCAACCCGACCAAACCGACCAACCTAGACCGACCCAACCCGAGTCAGCCGGGTTTTCATCCGTACCAGTCGGTTTTGGGTTGGGCACACACATAAACCAAAATCTCGGGTCGGTTTCAGTTTTCTTGCGTGAAAACCGAAACCAACCCGACCCGAACTGAACTAGTATTCTACTAGTTTGGTAGTTCCTACTGAAAGAATGGTAGGATCCATCCAATGGACGCCATAAA